TTTTTTTTTTGGAATGTGCTTGACCCTCTGGTTTGAGCGAGTTATGTTACAGGGTGACCCCCCCCCCCCCCCAAAAAAAAATATATTAATAAATAAAATGGAATAAAATAAAAACAATCACGCAAACTCTATTGACTAATTGGTTCGTTGTCTGAGAACAAAACCGGTCAACGGTCATCTCGCGGACAACGACTAAACCACTAAACTTACAATTTAAATCGCATATTCCGATGGTTTTCGGAATATAAAGGGCGTGTTTATCTCATAAACGTACAGTTGGCCTTGCTCATTTGTTAATTGAGGTATCCTTGGGTCTTTCTTACCCAAAGCATCAGATAGGTTGCGTGTCAAGTTTTTTCCCTGTGGCGCAGCCAAGCAGGTCTATAGATCGAGAATTCAACCTTTTTCTATTCTGCAAACCGAGGCCATTCACGCCGCAAGTTTTAGTTTAATAAGTCCGATGCAAAGAAAATGAAATCTGTCTAACATTGAGTCCGCTCTCCATTAGATTCGTACAGGTTAGGGTTGGCGTGACGCAAGCGGGTGCTAGGACATCGTTTGCCCTTACAAATCAGAGGACACCGGACACTACACTACAAGAGACAATATTCCGAACGTGGCGCCGATCCTTATATCATTTCATTTTCATATCTTCATAGGAGCACGCTCATTGTAAAAGCTTCGGCTCTTAAACTCCGACTAGCCTCTCGGGAGGCTGGCGTAGATAAATGTTAGTGTCCTCTCCCTTTTATTACTTCTTTCAGTAATGGTATGCGGATTTAGAATTACTTTGTTCTTTCGGCAGGACGGGAGTTATGGTGCGCTTCTTTTTCTTAGGACGGCAAATAAACAGTATCAGTCTTGTGAAGCCGAACTCGATGAATTCAACTAAAGTTAGCAGGCTGAAGCCCATGAAAAGCCCAAACTGACCTCCCAGGTCACCTGAAAACAGATGATTTAAAAATATTACATACATATTTGTCTGCTGTGAGTGCCCGCGTGTGTACCCGTGTTGTGTAATTCGTTTTCAGAGACCGCGTTTGTGTGTGCGTGTTTATACCTTTGCATGTGTTTTTACGCACACTTGTGTGTATGTTTGCCTAAGTGCTTGAACTTGTTGAAATGCATGTTTAAATATTTTTGTGAAAATTCAGTATTCTGATCAATTCAGCGTAATAGAATAACCGTGTGACTAAGTGACGATGAATTTTTAATGTTCGATAGAGGCCGTGCCACCATACGGATTGATACTGTGTGTGGTCCGTCAAGTGGGCCCTAGTCATTAAAAGCAATTTCGATACCTACCAGTAAAGTGACACACGCGAACAACAAAGAGTGAAAGCAAAATCGATTTTCAGACTTTCCTGTGTAACATAACGTTATATCGTTAGCTCATATCAACGAGCTTGCTATTCTTTCCCGTGACTTTGAACGTACCCAAAGACTCCATTGTTATCGGGAATAAAAATCACAAAAAACTTTTTTTGTGTTTGTATGGAACTCTGCTTGACAATCGACCGTGGGATATCGTTGCCCAGCACAATACACAGGGCATAGAACAAATATATGACCAGATAATGAGTAAATATGTTATTATGCCCACGGGATCCGTTTACCGGACAATAAACAGCGTTACGGGCATTAATTCAACAGTGTTTAAGAATATGTGTTCATGCCATTAAACTGTCAATAATATGGAATAAGTTACCGATATAATTGTCCAAATTTTCTTATCACTTACAACTTTACTCAAAACAAAAAATAAAACTGAGCTTATATTCTGTGAATGGCCACCTCTATAATTTAATGGAAAGTTGGGTTTGGGCCCAAATGAATAAAGACAAATTATTATATTTAAAAAAAATATATTATGTATATATATCTATATACAACTTACTTATCAAACCCGATGACTCGATGGCCGGCAATTGTTCGCTAATTACGTAATTTAAGTCTTGGAAGAAAATATCCAGCACGAGAATGTTTTTCCTGAAATGAGAAAAATTTGCTCATAATCATCAAATTTATTTGCACTTCCATCTGCAGTATGCTTTTTTTTGTGTGTGTGTGTGTGTGAACTGAAAGCTTTTGTCAGTTGGAATGCTTTCCCAAGTTTGAAAGATAGGCAACTCAAGTGCATGATAATTTCGTTTCAAATGCGGTGTCTTAAACAACATAATTTCTCTTCTATAAAGGTATTTTCTAAAAGCTGCTGAGTTTTATTTGTTCAACATTTTAGCCGTATAATATACTTACTCGATATCGGACTGTGCTACGCCGTATTCCATTGCCACCTCAGGTGCAGTTTCATCGCTGGGAAGCTTGGCGTAGGAGAGATAGGTCTCGTAATTCACGCTCTGACACGGGATTTTGCAGGGGCACATGTGCGTAAAATTCTTCTTAATTTCCACTGGAATGAAACAATTATGAATGCATTATTTTTTGGCGATTTAAACGTATTGTAACAATGCAATTTAATGGAAANTTGTGGACGCTTTGTATGGCCGGACCAACAATTTGACGTGTAAGCACACTGCTATGTCCAACACAGGCTGCAACGCCAGCAATTCCTACAGCGTTGTGTCTGAAGCATGCGAAGGTCAGCAGTCCTGTTCTGTGGTAGCAAGTAGGTCAACATTCGATCAGGATCCTTGTGAAGGAACCTTCAAGTACCTACAGATTAACTATAGTTGTCAAGGTAAACAGGCATGTTGGTAAACCCGACCAGTGGCGTATTTAAGGGTGTTGTCAGGGGGGTCCTGATCCCCCCCCCCTTCCATTTCTAAAAAAAAATCACACCAATGGTCCCCTCTTGAAGTTATAATTTTGACTTGCTGATTCATAGTTTTAAATCGTACCAAATGGCACCGTTCGCCCTCTAAATAATTTTTTTCGGGGCCCCTTTTTCCGCGGACCCCCTCTTCAAATAATCCTGAATCCGCCCCTGCATGTATGTGTTTACTAGCTGGACAACAGGGTCACACTGTCTTTATGGTCAAGCTCTTTTATTTTTAAATGTTACTTAGTCGTCAAATTTTCTCTGTGACACAAAACAAAGCAAAATGATACAGGATATTTTCTGTTGAAAATCGAGAAAACGGACCTTAAATCCGGTATTTCAACAATGACAATATCAGATTTATTGGACTCAAATGCACCCCAAACCAATTAGAGATAATGCTAAACCTTACAAACACTACGATGTGACACCGTAATTTATCATTGGTCATCTGAGAATTGAAAATGGAGAAAAAACAGCATATCTGATACTAATGACCTGCTCAGCATGGTCAACTTTCAAGATGATAGATAGCTGCCACATAAAATCATGCTTCACCCCCGAAATTACTAGTTCTACGTCGATATACGACACATGATAAGGCATTTGAATTATTACTTACAAATATGAATATTGACACGTGTCTTTTATGATAAATTTCCTCAAATTCAAAATTCTTATATATAAAACATGCTCCCGCGACAGTGATTGATTTGTTTTCATCACAAAACAACCTTGTTTGTCCTTGCCTTCCTTCACCCTTCCCGCCTCCTTTTCCTCCCTTCTGAATAACTGAGACTGCCCAATATTTCTTCCTCTTCGAGCACGTGTTGATATGGACGTTATTGTATCAACAAAATTTGGGTTAAATATTAATGTACTTAGCAAACAAGCCCGTAGGCGGCGGGGAGAGGGAAGGCTGGGGGGAGGCTATTGCGAAATACCCTTTAGGACAGGAAAAGGATTCTCTGTGCACTAAAATTTGATCTTGGTTCCGTGCTGTTATGGTAAAGAAGTTCCCCATTTCAGAAAAATACCCCCCCACACACACACACACACACTTCGAAATTGCTTGCTATTGGTCTGCCGAAGGAGACCACGTCACAAAGTTTAGCTGTGCTAATGTAGTCACCCAATCTAATTGCACAATGCTTTTAAAAAAACTTGCTATTTTTAAATAGAAAAAAAAAAGAAATTAAAAATGTAAATTTCTTCGAATTAATCATCTAAATAAAAACGTTTACCAGTGTTGTTTGTACATTGGTTTAATCATAAACTAACCTACTATATTTTTGACGAAATGCAGTGGTATAAAAACTGGGTGATACGCAGATATCAATATTTCATCTGGAAAAATTCTTCTGACCTTAAAACTCAATTCTTGTCCAGCTATTTTTATCTCAAAATTTGAATGAAAACAAATACCGTATATGGAATTTTTTAACTGGAGGCCTATTCATACTAAATTTCCATTCATCGTTNGGGGGGGGGGGGGGAGGAAATGCTGGGGGGAGGCTATTGCGAAATGCCCTTTAGGACAAGAGGATTCTCTGTGCACCAAAATTTGATCTTGGTTCCGTGCTGAACATTATGGTAAAGAAGTTCCCCATTTCAGAAAAATACCCCCCCCCCCCCACACACACACACACTTCGAAATTGCTTGCTATTGGTCTGCCAAAGGAGACCACGTCACAAAGTTTAGCTGTGCTAATGTAGCAACCTAATCGAATCACACAATGTTTTTAAAGGTAACTATCTATTTTTAAATAGAAAAAAAAAAGAAATTAAAAATATAAATTTCTTCGAATTAATCATCTAAATAAAATCGTTTACCAGTGTTGTTTGTACATTGGTTTAATCACAAACTAACCTACTATATTTTTGACGAAATGCAGTGGTATAAAAACTGGGTGATACGCAGATATCAATATTTCATCTGGAAAAATTCTTCTGACCTTAAAACTCAATTCTTGTCCAGCTATTTTTATCTCAAAATTTGAATGAAAGCAAATACTGTATATGGAATTTTTTTATTTGAGGCCTATTCATACTAAATTTCCATTCATCGTTTCCACTACCCCACCACCTCTGCCAACATCTGTTAGTAATTTCTACTACGTGCTTTTGTTTGAAAGAATAAGAATACATTAAAGAAAAAAACTATTTTTACTTACGTAAAATTGGTTTCACACACTCTACTATCTGCTTAGGGGAACACACTTCACCTGGGCCTGGAAAACGCCAAATTTAGATAACAACATCATAATGCTTGACACCGAGTTAACGGAAGGGCAAATTACCCTAACGACACTTGCCACATTGGCTTGTGTCGTGTCATATATTGTGTGCCGTAACTAGGGCGTCACGTGATCAGACATCAGGCTGTCCTTTGAGTCCTGCAAATTATTAAATATTTACAGAGAATAAAAAAAGTTTCAATAATAGGTTCTTCTTCATTTTGTTTGATAACATTTAGAAGGAATACTGAACCCTAACAGAAAATAGGCCTAATCTTAATTCAGAGTCGACTTTACGATAATCCATGTTGCTGCCAATGATTTTATAGCGAAAGCAGATTTTTTAAAGATAAAATATAGCAGGAATTCAAAAGTTGTGTATGATTCTAATACATAATTGTAAACACGAAAAATGTTTGTTGTAAACTGGATCACACACAGCATAAGGTGTAAAAAATTAGAAGAACAGAAGAGAAAAAATTAATCTTCGATAACTTCTATAACTTTTTTGTTGTTTGAAATAAAAGGTTATAGAAAGCCAGAAGTTTTCACTTAAAAAGTAACTCAAATCCCGTTTACATGTCATAGGATTTAAAAATTCCTATTTTCGTTTAGGGCATCTTGTGCTGAGAGCCTTTTAAATACACTTCAAAGAATGAAATAAATTTTTGAGCAAAAAAAAAAAAAAATACATACATACACACACTGAAGAAAAATCAGAAATTTACCTGGATAGTTGAGTAATTTGCATGTACAGTTGCCCATCATGTGGTCCAGTTTACACTCCTGGACACACGCGGACATCGTATACACCGAGTAGTATTTCAGAGGCGAGGCTCTGTCACATATCCCATACGGCGGCTCCATCTCTGCGGACTGAAGTACAAGAGAGAAAGTTCCCTATGACAACAACCTTGGGAATGAGGGACAAAGACATCCCCCCCCCCCCGAGACCCTGCCTTTCCACCCCAGGTCGATGGTTTGAAAGATATCCACAAACTGGCAGACGTTTGGAGGGCACCGTTTCTGCAAAATGCTGCTTACTTTTGAGCGAACGAAAAAAGTATAGTAAGTCATCCAAAGAAGAAATCTACTAAGCAAATGCGAGTTGTTACAGCTGAAAACTTATTCAAACACAAAATTCTTTTCCTATGCGCGTTTTCCTATTTTTTTTATGGTTATCTTATTTATTTAATTCGCCCATGTTTGTTAATTAATTTATTTATCTAATTTTATTATACAAATTGAGAAAGCGGTTATTCAGTTATTTTGACATAATTACATACATCTGTCCGTTTCACCCCGGCGTAGGCGTGGAAGCCAGGAGGGACGGCCAGACTCTTGGTCTCCATCATTGGGGGCTCAGACTGGTTGTGCACCTGGAACAACAGGCCCACCTCTATAGGGTCGCCCCTCTCCATTTTGTTGGTGTACTCACTCTGAAAGCATACGAAAAAAGATGATGCAAGCGAAAGGTGTCTGTCGCACAGGTAGTTTTACGTGTAGCAGTATAGGGACATTGTTTTTTACCAGCTGAACTTAAGAAATTATGTATATTTGATTTTTGGCACTAGCTCCAAAAGGTCACGGAATGACATGAAAAAATGAAATGGAAACGCATAAATTGAAGATTCGGCAATTTTCAGGACAATGTGATAAGAGAATTCAGGCCGTGTAGTCCCCAGGACTAGAAAATATTGGAAATGTATTTTTTTTTCTATGTGTAGGTCATGAACACAGGCTTTCAGATATATCAGCCTCTTAATTTGAAGCGGGCGTGTAAGGAAATTTGAAAATGGTGTGTGTTTGTGTGTGTGGTGGGAGGGGGAGGCTGGAAGGTGAGTCAGAAATCCTTCAAAAAAAAAAACATCACATATGACTTTAATAGAAACACAGTCAGACCTCTCCTCACAGACTAGATCCAAACCGCTACTATCGAAAATCAAAGGAATAAAAAAAACTGACATAAGTGGAAGGGAGCAGCTCAATAACTGATCCCCCCTTACACTTACCTGTTCGATATTGACGATTAATTTCAACCCGTTCCCAATGCCGGGCTGATCTTGAAACACGCGTGGCTTTGAGTTGGGTACGGCGTTGAAGGTGTAACATAATCCGTATTCCGTCAACACGGGGGTGAAGGACTGTAAAAGTTAGAAATCAATACTGAATTAGATACACGGCTATATTCAAATATGCAGTGATAGAGGTAGTGGTTTTGGTAATCATTTATACGTCTCATTTCATAACCGCGTGTCGTTCATTTTGATCCTAATAAGTTGGCTCTTGGCGTGCAGAGGTCTTTGACACTGCCTGTCCCCAGAGAGGGAGGGGCATGTATTAAATTACATTGCATTACATTATACATGTTTTTATTGTCTAGACTATAACATGACAGGGATATGTTACAGTGAACGAGTTTCTGTGAGTCACTTATTTGTTCATTTTGTTCTTTACTAGGTTATTACATTAAGATGTCATAAACCCAGCGTTGCCACAGTGACCACAGAGGAAGGTCGAGAACGAACCCTAGGACGTGCTTGTTTTAAATAAAGATGCGTTTTGTTGTTGGGACCCAAATGGCGCTTATACCAAAGTCACTTTTAATCTGTAGATTTATTAATTTATTATTTTTTAAATTATTTATTCATTTATGCATTTATATCTCACTGCGCGCAGATATCTCTGATATAATATTGAAGCACATTCCAATGTAATGAATTCATATATCGAAGCAAGTTGCGTACTCACCTTAGATATGTTGCATTTTACTCCTTTGAATTCACAGTGTATATTGGTGTCTGTCAATTGCCACCCCTTCTCCTTAGTAAAGTTGGCGAAATCAAAGCCTCCCGGGTACCACAGGCTAATATTGGCCATCAAGTCATCTATGTTAACACTGCCGGTATTCCCGCTCGGTGCAGCAGGTGGAACTCCATATGCGGCGTCTCCGCTTCCTCCGTAGTCGTAATAAGAGTAGTCTTCGTAGCTGTACGGGTTGTACGCATAGTCGTACGGGTTCAGCATTGACGTCGCTTGGTCCAAAAAGTCGATGTCCGTTTGGTCCAGCTGCGACTTCAGGTACCTTGAAGGTTGAAAAAAATGTCTCAAGTCCTTATTTTTATTTAATGACAAATTTTCTTGGTATATTTACTGGGGAGTATATGTTTATCTCCAACAAAATGATAATTAATAAATTCTAAAATTCTGGAGTGATTTTTGAATTTTTTCTTTCAAAACCTTTCAAAATGTTGATGTACCTCTGTAAATAAATTGAACATTCAGCCAAGAGGATTATTTATTGCGACTGACATAAGAAATATGGCCTATCACTCAATAACTTTATATAATAGCGCTTTAGATTTTTTCATGTATGGTTATTCTAACCAGTATACGCGAACACACACACACATACACACACACACATACAATCAACAGAGGGTCACTTATTCTCAAACTTATAACTTTGCCCCTTACTCCCTAAAGCTCTGCGACCGTTGTATTTTTATGAAAAAGTCCTCTTCATTTATTTTAAATACATGTTTTCCTAGCTTCGTGAATCATTTGTGCACCCCCTAACAAAATCCTGTGTCACCAGGCACTCACGTGCGCACTCAACCAACACACGCATTTTAACACACAAACACTCACACGCATTTAAACGCACACTCACGCACGCACACACATTCACACATCCATTCAAACACACATGCACATGCATTCAAACGCCTTTATACACACACACTACCACAAACGCACACACATTCAAACACACACATTACACACATTCACATACATTCACACAAACACACACACGTCCCCCTTACATGTTATTGTGGTGTTATTGTACAAAACGAGAGCCCTTGTACCATATGGTGCCATTGTTGCAATAAATACGTGCTGTATTCATCGCGACAGCCCATTGCGTCATTTTAAGCTGTTCTTTGTCCACCAAAGTTCTTAGCCTGCTTTTGAATCTCTGCATCCAAGAGTAAGCACAACAGCAAGAATAATGTTGGCTTAGCTCAAAAATGTTGACCCCTCTCTGAATCTCGTCAATAATATAAATTAATTACGATGAATTGGGTATGGTAAATGGCTAAGAATTCCAAATTCACACCTACTAAAACTTACTTGTTCACGTTGCAAATTGTTACTGCAGGAAATTGAAGGGTCTTCGAAAACGTCATAGTGATCTTTGTTGTAGTGTCGTACTTGTAATACGCTATGAAACGCATAGTGATCTGCCAGGTTGCTACGCCAAATCCAGTGAGAATTAACAAAACCCAAATAACTCGACTTAAGGTGTACTTATTGTCAGCAACCCGGGCAAAGCCGTGAGCGGAGGTGTTGGTGGCGAATTCATACTCCGGTGTGTGTTCCTCCTCCGTGGTCGCCTCGGTGCCCATATTTCGCTACCGGCCCCTCGCCTAAGGACGAAGAAAAATAACGAATTATTCCTTGCCTAATCCAAAGTTGTCACACGACTTGTCTGAACTCTAGGGACTTGACCCCGTGACGCCCTGTTAAATGTTTCAGTGAAGGGTGGATTTAACCGCGCCGTCCTTGGCATTAACTGACATTGAACTCCACATCGTATGGTCACAGGTACGTCATTACGCCCGTGCTGCCAGAGTTGTCCAACGGTATGGTGTCAATAGTGTTTATATAAACCGGCTGTGAGAGAAGGGGTTATGTGAAGAGTTATGTGAATTGGCAGTGACAAAAAAACCAATGAAGCGTCCAGACGAAAGCTATAGGGGCGTGTTCAATACCCTTCGATTATTTTTGTAGTTACGTGCGACCATAACATTGTTATAACGCCTGGAACAACACAGATTATGTATTGATCACCATATTGATATCCTATACATAAATATCAGTTTAATATATCTTTATATATATATCTTTATACCTATTACTATTTCTTCTTCTTCTTTTTTTTTTTTTTTTTGGGTGGGGGGTGGGGGGTGGGCGGGGGGGGGGGAAGGGAGTTCGTAATGAATGCCTAAAAGCAACTTTAGTCTACCTATTTCCTTTATGCGCTCATTTTCAGTAGCACTTTTGGAATTGTAAGATTTAACATCGCTATATTAATCATATTTCAAATCTATTATATATGAGTTCGATAAAATCTTCAATACGTTATAGATTATCAAGAAAAATTTCCGTCGGATTACAGAAAAGAAAAGGTTCATTGTTTTCTCAAAAACCAATTACGTCCCTAAACCAATGTTATTATGATACTTACAGTTAATATGCTAGCGTGAACGGCAGTGCTTGATCTTCTAGAGCAATTAAATTTATGCTTCACGTATCTGCATGATTTAACTTGCTATATATGAATGTGGCCGAATACCAATTACAGTCAGCTGCACAATGAACTTGGAGGCGGTCTGTGCTTCTTGTATCATTCTGAATTTCGATCAACTTTGTGACTCCTCCCGAAATTACTCCTACAAATTGTGTACATGCTGCGCCCAGTATCAGAAATCACAAGAAAAATTGATGACTTTCATAAATAATTGACACAGAAACGCCTTGACGCTTACTGCTGTAGTGTAACGATATCACGCGCCGTTGTTTACCAGACAAACTTGAGACGGACCTCTTGAAACAATGGCCAACTCATACATACAAATGTAATCGATGAGCGGAAACACTCTACTAATGACCGATGTCTGATATAGCTATTAGACTATCACAGCCAATTAATGGTATCGAAAATATTGTGATGAAGATCGAGGGAGGAGTAAACAATCCACTTGACAACTATGTTAACCGATCTCACAACCTGAAACATTTTTGTTTGTTGCTACAGTTCATGAACTTACTTCCAATCATACATGTACATGTAACTGCGTAAAATTGAACTGTGTTTTATTTTTGTTCTGAAACTTTATTGAAATTAACTTCATTGTTTAAATATTGTTGATACATTTATTTCTTTGCTCAATTAGGACCCGAGACTGGGGCCATCCCAGCTGCATTTGATTTCTTCTGCGTGCGATGAAGTCATATCCTTTGAAGTTAACGTATTCTCCTGATGGAAATTCAGCTGTGTAGATACGTTATTAGGTTTCACTTTTTACGCTGTAACACACGCTGGGGAAGGTCGCGAAGTAACCGAAAACTTTGTTTAGATATAGCTTAATGTTTAGCGTAGAAAAGTTTTAACCTCATTAATGAACGTATTCTTGTTCTCTCTCGTAAGATTTCACCAGAGTAGTTTTTCAAGCCAAGTGATATTGATATCACACACTTCTGTCGCACTTGAAGCAAATCCATCAATTTCAGTTGAACTGCCTTTAAAAGGGCTCTTGCATTTTTCACTTAGGTCAGGTGTACGTTTACTTTTTCAAAAGACTTGGGTTTATTTACGTCGAATTGCAAATAATTTATGCCAACATGATGGTTATCTCACCAAATATTGATTTACGTCGTGTAAAAAAGAAGTCTAGTGGGTAAACTTGACCGTTACTCTTAGAACGCTGCATGCACCGGCATTTACTACTAATGCACACCATTTGTTACGGTTAGGCATGTTTGTCCTTCTCTTTCACCCCCCTCCTAATTTTTAAAGGCATAGTTTGCTCCGTTGTTTTTCTTTCAAGCGTAGGTTATAAGTTTAAAAACACCCGAGGCGAACAATTGCCGCGAAATTATCCTTGGTAAGGATATTGATCAATTTCCGATACTTTTCCCTTAAAGCCCAGTATCAACTTTGCCATGTTATTTCATTGTAAAACATGTTTTCTGCATCATTGAAAACTCCAACCATATAGCAACTGTATTCACCATAGCCCTCTTTTCGTGGACTTGGTGTGTTAAATTCTTATTTGCAACGACTGAAGATTATATTTTGAACTGCCATCAATAACAACCCCGGGTTAAATTCGATACAGTAATGCATCCCTGACCACTCTTAAATGAGGGAATGGCTTAGGCAACTGGTTCAGCAAATGTTACAGCCGAGTAGTAAGACAAAAAGTAAACGTGAGACAGTAAACTGCAATAAGGACTCTCAACGTCTCAAGCAGGGCTGTTACAGTAAAGAATCCATCCTCAAAGCGGTCGCAAGGCTGTTGTAACAGGCTTCAGGTATGTCAAACAACCCAGCAGTCGGTGCTTACTAGTCGCTGCTTGCAGTTGACTTACCTGAGAATAATTAAAGAGAGATTACAACAATTTCAAAGACATACATTGATCGTTTAAAAAACATACCGTTTATCCATACTAACCGAGACCCTAACTAGTATGTTTTTCTGTCGTTTGAATTTAATAATATCCCAACTTACACGGCCATGTTCATGTTGAGCTAGTTACACGGTATTTTGGTCAATTCTGTGTGATATCGCGAAATATAAAAGACAGATTTTAATTATGAAATAGCCAAGCCTTTATAATTTTGTTTACCGTGAGAAATGTGAATATAAGACCTTAAGGTTGCATTGGTTAGCACTGTTCAGAAGTAGAACTTTAAAAAAGTTAAAAAAGGTGATTTCATGTGTCAAATGCAAGCAAATAAAAATAAGAATTGGCAGGTATTGGATTTCACCACGATACAACAGATGAATATATTTTTTTTATTAGTAATTTAATTGGTCAATAGTTCAAATGGTAATAGGTCAATACATTTGTGGTTAATTATGGCAGATTTAGGCCTATATGAAGTCTACTAATCTACCAATGCGTTATGTTAAGATACAGTAGCTGCCACATCTAACAGACATTTGGGAAACTTAAAATTTGGGCAGGTTTGTGAAGTTTAAAACAGATTTTATCACTCAAAAAAATTACACCTGCAATTTTAAGTAAATTTAAGCAATTTTCTGTTGTTACCAACTTTATTCCGTCAAACAACTTTGTACAACATACATGTGTTGTGACATCGACTACATTGTTTTCATTTTCTCTTATTTTCCACATTTTTTATTGTTTATTTCCTAATATCGTATTATTGTTATCGTCATTGTATTTGTGTCCATCCATTTATTTATTTAGTTATTTATTATCACAAAATACGA